TCTTCCATTTTTGCTTTCTTTTGTCTTTGTTATTTTCTTTAAAAAAAAAAAAATCAATCTGGTCCATTATTCGACAACATATAAACTTATTCATTAAAATTATATAAATAAATTATCCATATATCATTATTCATTTGTTAGGTTAGGAGCCATCACAATCTCAAGAATTTATCACTAAGGATACTGTATATGATACACAGAAAAGGCTGAAACAGAGTTTCATCAATCCCTTTATATATATATATATATATATTTTTTTTTTGGTTTCCCACCCGGTATCCGGGGTTTCGCCCTGACTACTCCGGACTCGATCAGCTGTGACGCACCAGAATGGTGGGTGGGTCTCTCAACGAAGGTTGCTGCGTACACAAAGTCTCGAACTCAAAACCTTGCTTAAGTTGGAACAAGCCGCTTACCACTTGATCCAACCCCTCGTTGATATTTTTCCTTTTATATAGACTTGGATTCAGTTGAGCCACATCATTAATGAAGGGCAAAGACCAAGGGTTTTTGTAGTCATAAGGAAGAACTAAAAGGGTCCCATTAACAATTGAAAATTGTTTTTAATGAAAACAAGTTTGACAAAAAGTTCCGTCTGTGGTTTCAATTGCCTATTTTTCAAATGTCTAAGGGTTCTTGCCATTTTGTTTATAATTTCAGAAAATTTTGTTGACACTATACCTTTTTCAGTTAATTGATTGGTTGCTGTTGTTGAAAATTGATGAGATAGAGAAAGGGGGATGTAAAAGCCTAAAAGTAAAAGGTTTCAATTTTGGCATCGGATGCCAAATTGAAAATGATTAATTCACTGTTTTCGATTCTCAGCTGCCTACCTATAGGCATTTGCCTTTGCAATACTTTTAATTTCTTCTTTAGATTACAGAAAAAAAAAAAAAAAGTTAATTGAACCGAGCCTTTGAAATTAATGATTGGTCTCTAGGTTATGGTGCTTAGATTTAGTTGATTAAGAATTTAATTCTTGTCAATTATTTGAAAAAATTCCTCATTTCCTAATAATTTCTCATGTTAAAAAGAAAAATATAGAAGTTAATTACAGACTGTAGAAAACATGGATCTTGTCTTGTTAAGTATAGCTATATATAGTAGTAATATATGGTACATGTCTGCCTGTGTCGGTGGTTAAATCTTAAACTAAAACCACAGTGATTGCAGTTTTAATTTTCTATTCTGTTTACAACCCTGTGTCCGTAGAGATGGAGGATGTACTGAAGTATGTTCATGCTGCTTGGTCCATCTGGGATATATTTGGGAACTTGCTTTTCTTTTTCTCTTCATTTCTTCCCCTTAAACGTGAAGCGAAGTTTACAAATTACACTACCGTTAAAATGTAAATGGAGATGTGTGTCAGTTATAGTTCTCCCACTTTTTTTTTTTTGGTAGAAATAATTCTCCCACTTTAATAGATATTAGATACAACTTCATTCTGTAAAATCATTGAAAAAATAAAATATAATATAAGTCTAATATATGTCCTTAAGATATATATTAAAAGTATAATTAATATATATTTTTTATTAATTAATGTTAAAAATGATAAAATTTAATATTAATTTTATCACTTATGTCACATAAATTATTTTTTATTAAATAATTAATTTTTTATATAAAAAAATAATATAATAAATATTATATAATTTAAATTATATTAAATTAATTATTAAATAAATGTATGATATCAAACCGAAACTTTGAGTCTAATTGTTCGTTTCAAACTTTAAGTCATTTATTTTCATTATTGATTTGAAAACAAAATCT